GGTAAGATGCTTCCTCCCTGCCTCTCCCCACCCCTGCCTGCCTGGGGCCAGGGAGGGCCTTTGCGGGGCTTCCTTTGTATAGGATCCGGCCCCCACGCCTCACTAGGAATGAGGGAAGGACTCCTATATTAACAATACAATAACCACCATGCCCAGCTCCAACACCTCCTTAGAGATGCACTCTTAAGATTTAATGGTAGCATAGCCAGCTAGACACGAGGATTTAAGGCTTGGAGATCAGTTACCCATCAAACAGACAGTATTTAAACAAGAAATAGTTTTATTTATCACAGAACTTAACACAGACTACAGAAAGTACTGAAAACAAGAAAAACCTAGGGCTCTCTGGCCCTACCTAGACACTAGAGATATTCATAATTACCAGGGTGAGAGTTCCAGTACCAAGTCCATTGGAATAGTCCAGGATCTTTAGAAACAAAAGATCCATTATGCAAGCACCTCGCCATGTGCTTCACTGGAGTCCTTTGTCTGCCCAAGCCTCATGGCAGAGACAAAGCAGCTCCAGAACAAGTCCACAGACAGCAGGTAACAAGAACAGAACAGCAAGCAGAAAATCTGAATCTGTGTCTTTGTGTTCAGACTGATAAAGGGCAATCCCAGGTTTCCAATGGCCCTGGCCGGGAACCAATTGACTTACAGTGTGTCCTGAATGGTCAGTTGTCGTGGAGGCCACACCTGCAGTTGTGGTCTCCACCCCAACCCCAATTCTCATTGCGTACGTGTGTTTCTGCCATGCTTGGCAGAGGCATGTGGTTTATGACGGCAATTGCGTCCATTTGGTCAGAGCATCTGGCTTCAAGAGGAAATGCACACCATGGGGGTTAGGAAGATACATTCCAAAGAAGAAACATGAGACTACAGAACATTCAGGGGGAGACCTAAGGCCTACAGGGATTAATATTTCTATACAGGGGGGCTGTTTCAGTAGGTGAAAAGGTGCAGGGGAGGAAAGGAGGTCGTCTGGTCCTCCCCCACCATGGGCCTTTGTGGCATTCTTTTAAATGAACAAAGTCTTCTCTGAAATGGCATCAGTGACCACGGGTTGGACCTGTGACCATCGTAATGTCTAGTGTGGCTTTTATTTATACCTCTTCTTCGTTTATGTGTGTTGCACAAAGCCTTCTATTTTGCTTTTAGATGTCAAAATGTAATAGATTGTTCACTCAAGTAGTCACCCCGTGTATGCGGTGTGCCATTTTTGAGGTCCCTCTCATTCCGTCTCGATTTCTGCCTTCAGGAGCCCGGGAAGCGCTCTCAGCTGTGGCGGATGACAGGCACCGGCATGCTGTGCCACGAAGGCTCTGCGGTCCCTCACCATCCCAACAAGCCATCCCCTCCTCGGTCCACAGAATCCTCCATGATCTTGGACATCGCTGGCCTGGCAGCGGTCACTGATAACAGGTGTGCAGACCTCGGTGCCTCTTTTCAGATCACCCTGTGCACAACCAAACGATAGTTTGAGTCAGAATTTGCTGTCAAAACATCCCAGTCCTCAGTTATTCAAACAACCGTGACTTTACATGTTGGGCGGGGCCAGGTTAAAGCGCTTAGGGCTCTTTAGCTTGGAGAAATGATGACTGAGGGGTGACGTGATCGAGGTTTATAAGATTATGCATGGGAAAGAGCAGGTAGAGAAAGAGGTACTTTTCTCTCTTTCTCACAATACAAGAACTCGTGGGCACTCCGTGAAATTGCTGAGCGGTCGAGTTAGAACGGATCAAAGGAAGTACTTCTTCACCCAAAGAGTGATTAACACATGGACTTCACTGCCACAGGAAGTGGTGGTGGCTACAAGCATGGACGGTTTCAAGAGGGAATTAGATAAGCACAAGGGGGCGGGACCCGCGATACTCGCGGGGGGAGGGACCTCCACACAGGAGGCAGAGGAGGAAGCAGGAGGAGGTAAGTTCCCCCTCTCCCGTCGGTTCCTCCCCCGTCGCCTCCACCCCCCCGCTCGATCTCCCCCCCTTCCCTC